GTGAGCTTAGTTAAAGCCCTTAATCTTTCAGCCGTCGAATTCGCTTACAGACAATTGGCATCTCAAATAATAATATGTGGTATTAACAAGCTGGAATTTTCGAAAATGTAATTAAGTAGATACCTGAGGAAAAGTGCTTTTAAAGGGAAATTTAGGGCTCTCAGTAGCACAGGAAATCTCAATTACAAAATGGGTGATTAGATTAATGAAAGCCTTTCTTAATTTATTTATTTCTTGTGTTTCCCGAAAGATGTATGTCCTAAAAAGTTTGGAGCTGGGCATTCCCACAGGAAATGAAATAACGATTTCTTTCTGAAATATTCCTATTCTATAAACACGCTTTCCTGGCGGCCAATGACCAATGCTAGCAATTATAATCCTAAATACTTCTACCCCTAACCTATGTAGCAGCTCTGCTGTTTTTCTTGCTAAAATGAAACTAAGGCTCTCTTCCTGTCTTGTAAGTCTGGATCTCCTTGCTATTTCCGGAAAGTCAAGAGGATTTCTGTTTGCATTTGTACCGCCGCTACAGATTCATTCAAACAAGCTCCCGCTTTTGCCAATTCGTCTGCTCTCTCGTTGCTTTCTATGTTCCTATGGCCGGAAACCCAGACACGAAAGATTGAAATAGCCTGAGATGCCGAGCGTTTATCCATGTTGCATTCTTGACTAACTTGGATAGGAGTTCAGTGGTTGAATATAGCTAGAAGTGTTACCTGGCCATCTGAGTAAATAACCGCTCTTTCTTTCCGGGTAGTACTATTATTTAAATAGTGCCCTACAGGCTTCAAATATGTATTCGTAGAACTTCAGCCCGAAATGTGCTGGCATGCAATTGATTAACACCAAGCTCCTGCAGTCCTTCTTGGATGGATTCCTTATCGCACAAGTGAATCCAGGAGAAAATTCAGGCTTTATGCAATGTAGTTTGCTACTTAGTTCGTACCATACTAGGTAAGATTTGGCCTTATGACAGTGGGGTACATCCTCTTCGGAAGTTTCGGTTTTAAACCACGGTTTCTACTGAAGATCCGTTTACAAGTGTAGTCAAGTCAAGGTTAAGTTTGCAGTTTAATTTAGTGCCTAGGATGACGCTTAGATGTTTCGCAATGGATGACTGCATTTTCGACTATGGATGGTAGTCTAAATTGGCCCGTCTTATTCTTATTTCTCAACAGTAATAACTTAGTTCTAATAAAGTTTATGTTAAAGCCACTCTATTTAGTCCACGTGTGTAACCAGTTCCTCCCCTCCAGTACTGCTGGACTCAATCGCCACTTTTGAACCGCTACTGCACCGACTCCTAAGTAAGTAGCTACTCTATTAACCCGTGGTAGTGCACATGGCAGTGCAGAGTCGAACCAGTGGTAAGCAGAATAGCGAAAAACTACGACAAAGGGCGCCCATAAATCACGCATGTGACTACTTTAGTAACTCCCGGTAATGCAGCCGATGGTGACTACCGCCTAGGACATTGCCTTGTAAAAGTAATCGATGAAATACACTGCAAGTAGTCGGTCGGTAATTGACGGTGTTTATTAGGTAGCCACCGATTCAGCAGTCCTGTAGTCACTCCCCCGTACTGCAGAGTGCATCAACATTTAGCGGATTAAATACTAGTAAGACACAATAAGTGAAGATATCCCTCTGGGTCTAGTAAAGCCTTTACATTGGCATACAATATGCTCTGCTGTTTCCTGTTCCTCAAAGCACAACCTACATTGGCCAGAGAAAACTACTGCCTGTTGTTACAAGGCTTCATTGACTTGCAGTAATAAAGTCTTTATCAATTTTTAATTCTTACACAGTAAGTTGAAGGAGCGGTTCGGTTATTCTTTCTAATATTTCTTCATACAGATATCATAATTTTGCCCCACGCAGCTCTATGGAAAACCCATGAAGTGCCCTGGATCTATGAATCTCTACGCAGCCTCTTTCCTGTCGACAATATCTGCCACTTCATTTGCAATATTTTCACAGTGTTCCGGTGCCGAAATAGGGTAAATATAAGCGCCTTAAGAGCTGCATACGTAAGCTTCTTTTAAAAAATAGATAAATCGTTTGGTTTGTGTCTGCCTTGGACATCCCATCTAGTGCCCTGCCCAACCTTTTATCTACCCAGTAATTTATGATCTCCTTTATATATACTAAAATCCTAAAATACTGCGGTAGCTCCTTGTTTCGCTAAGCAGATCGCCTCCTCGTTGCCATCATGTCCTTGAAAGCGCTGGCGTACCGTTCGAAAGATCCGAGTTCGAGTCTAGGGTAGCGGACTTGTTTTTATTAAAGTTTTTTGAAGTGAAACTTCTTAGGCGGCGGTATCGCAAAAATGGAGTGAAATTTTTAAAACTGAAAACGTTACATGAGTGAGAAGGAAGATATAGGTAGTATAGGGAAGGGGAAAAAAGAAATAAAGCGACGCATGACGGGTACGAGTACCTACATATATATATATGTATGTTTGAATGCACGTACGTATGTATACATATATATGTATGTATGAAAAAACTCAGTGCGCATTTCAGCTCTGCCGCTACCAAGCAATATATGTATAGATGATGCAAGCCTGCTTCGCGTAACTACATCCATTCGTACATATGTTTGTAAGGATAGATTTATGATGAAGCAAACGGGCTTCGTTGTATGTACTTATGGACAGCAATGTTTTCATGTATGTACATATGTTTTGAATGGTTGTATATATATTTGTACGAATGTACATATGTTTGTGAATGTACATACCCTGCAAAAAATGGGACTAATCCGGGATGACTCCGGGAGCAATCGCAAAGGAGCATGTGACTAATACCACTTTTGATCTCTTTATATGGAATGAACTGATCGCTTTTGTTCGAGCATGTCCTATGAAGAGACTAATTGTTCACCTTTATACCCGAACGGGTATAAAAAGCGACTAGTCACTTTTAAAAAATAAAAATAAAAATTTGCGCCAGCTGAGATTCGAACCGGGGTGCTCAGTTTTATTAGGCGAATACTCTCTCTGTGTCCCAACGCCGCACATGAAAGTTCATTGACTAAGTGCGTATATATCATTAAATCGTTAATAGTACCCATTAGAGATAAGTTGGGGACTAATTAATCTCCAATTATACCCATAAGGGATGAGTTGAAACTAAATGACCTCCATTAGTACCCGTATGAGACTAGTTGGGACTAATTAATGCCCAATTGTACCCGATTGAGATTAATCTCGGAATACTCTCTTTAGAGATAAGTCGCACAATTTTTTGCAGGGTATGTTTGTGAACATGTATATATGCACATATGTAATACAAAAAAAAACAAATCTAATAAGCTGCTCATTGATATAAATGCGAACTGTACTGATTGTCAAAAATTATGTTTGTTGTACATTTATTCATGTTTGGCATTGTGCATGTAATTTTCTAGAGTAGTTTTGTGCTCTCGCTATCTCCTTGTTAATACAACTTGTTAATGTTAACTCGTCCTTCGTTGGTATACTCTGATGAACATGTGTGAGGATGATAGCAAGGCCAACTTATATAAGGTAGTGTTACAGGAGCAGTTGAAATTTTCGCCCGCTGTTTCTTAAAGAAAGCCATACACGTAGCGACCGTTGGTTCAACTTGGTGTTGTTTTGCTCTAGATTGCACCGTTTGTGGGCCTGTTGAATGAATTTATGTCTTGGTTGTATGAAAGATCAAAAAATTTGGATTTTCTGGCAAGTTGTACAACTTATCGCTACATTAATGGCCATGTTGTACAAACTCATTTAATTTGCGTTTATTTTGTACACTAAATAACCGAAAATGGATAACTCAGCCGAAATAGGTACGTGCTTTCGTTGAATTTTATAAATAAAAGCCGAAACTATGAAATTGTAAAAATAAGATTTTACAATGAGACTGCTCGCAAAACTGCAATGTTTGTTGGCAAAACATCCAACTTGATTGCGGATTGATTTGAACCAACGTTTTCGGCTTGCTTTATATCAAAAGGATGAGTTTGTTGTAATTCATTCTGTCATTTACTACCATTATGCGTAGGCCAATTCATGAAAGCATTTCATCGGTTGAGTAGAAACTGAATGAATGAACACCATTTCCTGATTACAATTAACGCGAAATAGAGTTTATGCACTTATTTTTTACTCAGATCGATGAAATGATTTCGTGAATTGGACTACGCATACATGTGATACTTGTGCTTTTAATTTATAAGGTATTTTTATATTTTTATACTCTTGCTACCACATGAATATATGATATATGATATATGATGATATAAGAATAAATGCCGAACAAAGGAATTTGTCTTCTTTCAACTTAAATAAATGCATTTTGCAAACAAAATTGCGTACGTTACTTGGTGCCTTGGTAATGGCGAATTCGTAAGGATCTATTGATTGCATTATAAATATTTTCATTTACTTGGTAAACATACAATTACTTCCATTACAAGCCGGTCCTATGGATGCTTGAAGCGCGAATTCATATAAGGTGGTGTTACCGGAAAATGAATAAATAAATT